TGGGGCTGAGCAGGGCCTGAGGATGACCCAGCAGCACCCAGGGGGGCTGGGGTGAACCCCCCTGGTTACACATGAGCTTGGACAGGAGCGGCTCCCTGGCAGCCCCAGCTAAAGCTCACAGCTCCACCAATGTGACCGGCGTCCCCAGCCTGCAAGGGGTATCACATGCCCCAAACTCACCGGTGAGAGCACCACCAAGGCTGCCTCGTCTGAGCTGCCGCCCATCCTCACTCATCTGCCTCTTGAACTTGAAAGGCTTCCTGAGCCCAGCAGACACCTCAGGATAGCTCGATTTCCGCAGAGGCATAGGTGGAGGGGACAGGATGTGATCAAGCTGCAAAGACATAAAAGGGGGGGAAAAAAAAAAAACAGAAAAAAAATGAAGTGTTTACCTTCACTAGGAAAGGGTTGACATTCACATAAAGATTATCACAGTGTTTAGGGAAAAAACGTGCTTAAGAATGTAGAGCAATAAAATTGCAAAGTGACTATTTTGTAAGAGCTAGACAAAAGTTATTTTTCCTTGAGAGGGCCCCTGTCTCGAGATGCAGTGGGATCAGACTTAAACCTGCAGGACCTTCCATAAACCAGTCTTTCTGCACCAGGGACCAGCTGACCTTGCAAGGTCTGCCACCTGCTCCCACCAAGGATCTTCCCAGGCAATTTGCGCCCAGCTTTGAGAGCCCTCACTAGATGGCACTGCATATTCAAAAAAATTACTCAGTGCACAGTCTAGAGAAACACCACATGAAAAGAGATTTATCAACACCAGTGGAAAAAACAATAAAAAAAAACTATTTTTAAATTATCCTGCTTCCAGATTTGGCATTCATTTGCATTGACTTCAGAATAAGTGTGAATAAAAATCCTTGTCCTTCAAATTCTTACCATTCCTACACAAAATTTCAGCTGTCAGTTTTGCCATTACATTTAAAGTCCTGGTATTTGATTAAATTTGGAGAGACAAAGTGGAAAGCAAGGGGAGCAAATGAAGGCAAAGGGGAAAGGAGCTGTCATGTGAGTGAGCAAAGCAGTTTTACAAGCACCCTTCTCCTTGAACTGAAGGGTGGGGAGAAAAAAAGAGCACAACCGTTTTTCAAACCTCTCTAGTTTTTGTTTTCTATACTGTTTACTTCCTGATTTTTATGACACTTTTGCATGAAGTACCAGAAAGCTTCCACGATTTGGGCAGTTCCTGCACTGAGACATCTCAGGCAATCTCTGAGTCACCCAACTGATCGACCCTCCCTGCTTGCAGAAAGAAAAGAGTCAAGGTCACTACAGTCAAGTCCATTTTTATTTAGCGTTAATTCCACATTCCACAAAGTATTGCACACTGTACAATATATTTTAAATTTCTTCATTTCATACTTCCCTTTGTATTTATCATCAGGATACTTACTGCTGCAAATTAAAGGGTTGTGCAGGTATATACACTTCTAAGCACCAGGAAACACAGAGGCTTCTGAATCTGCTTGTTGAGCACATTCAGGTTCATTCCCACTCAGGACAGATACTCAAGTGACTCATTAACACAGAGCACAAGCCTATAGGGATTTCCTAAACCAGGAGGCTTGTGGGTCACAAGGAATATTAACCATCACCGGCACTTCTCACGCACAAGTGCCGATTCACAAATAACTCTGAGACAAGACACCTCATGAGATGAATTTATGAATCAGGGAGGTTAAAAAGTGACTGACAACAGCAGGCAAGAAGTAATGCATTTGCCTGGCAGCTTCTGATGAAGAAGTACCATTCGAAAACCTTTGGGCAGAAGTCTACTAAATACTCAAAAACATTGCTAAACACATTTAAATTCTTCACTGGTGGCCAGCAATGACCACCCAAGGCTACGTGGGGAGCGATTCCAGGCCCCCAAGAATGACACAATCTGATCAAGACCTTAGGTGACTTATTGACGGGAATTCGTGCACTGTGTCAAACCAGTTCACATGTCAAAGTAACTGACCATAACTCATTTTCCTTGCTTGAGATTCCAAGATTTAAACAGGAAGAAATATTTACTGATATCATTAAGCTCCCTGCAGACAAACACTAAAGCCCAGACAAGGTTTAACTGAATCACCATTCTATTACCTATTACGCCGTGCATGTAGACCCAGGATTATTTTTGAAAGCCAGGCGACAGGTAAACCACCCCCCTCTCCCAAACTACCCTTTTCTCAGCACCTGCTGCTACGTCTCTCGCTGAGCTTCCTCCTCGGCACTACATGACCCGCCGCCCCGAGCTGGCCTCGCTGATGGGCTGCGAGCAGCGAGGCCCGAGGACAGCGGGGCCCTTCAGGGGCTGACCCACCGACGGGCTGCGAGCAGCGAGGCCCGGGGACAGCGGGGCCCTTCGGGGGGCTGACCCACCGACGGGCTGAGATCAGAAGGGCGGGGGAGCAGGGCGGCCCGGA